GCGCGTGCGCAGGGCGAGGCGCTGAGGGAGGTGTCCGCTCCAGGACGCGGGACGGGGCGACTGGGGCGGGGCTTGAGAGACGGGTTGCCAATGGGCGGGGTGGACGGGCTGGGGGCGGGGCAGGACGCGGCCAGGACCCCGCCCCCTCGCCTGGGCCCCGCCTCGCGTCCCGGTTTCTGGTCCCTGGCTCCGCCCCGGGCCCCGCCCCTCTCCCCACCCACCCGCCAGCCCCGCCCCTGTGGGGTGCGCGCTCCCCGACTGCCGGGGCTCGGGTCGCGCTCTCTCTTGCGGGGCGTCGCCGCCCTCGTTATCTGCGCCCCAAGCAGGTCGGGAGCCTCCGGGCCGAGCTGGAGCGAAGATACCCCTCAGAAACCCACCTCGCCCCTCCCAGCAAGGGGGCAGCCGGGCAGCTGTCTCCCCTGGACCTGCTGCCCGGGGCGAGTAGGCCGAACCGGCGGCGGCCGGGTGGCGGGCGCAGGGCTCTGCGGTCCGGTCCGGTCCGGTCCGCGTTTCCGGCCCCCACGGAACGCTGTGCGCGTTGTCCTCGGTACCCACTTCGCTGCCAAGGTAGCCGATGCGGGCTGAAGCCAAGCCCAGAACATCTGGCAGAGGGATCTGTTTGGTCTTTGGCTCTGTTTAACAATAAAATTATTATTATTTTTTTAACAATAAAATTAAAAAGCATGAAGTTCTGATTAGTTTCTGATAAATCTTAAATTTCAATGGCAAAGTGGAATGACAGTAACCTTCCCCTCCAAGTCTTAAAGATTCTTCATCCAGGTTTTCTGGCTGGGCTTAGGGGGTTCAGTGACCCCACACTTGGTACAACATTTTTCCTTCGCTTTCGCCGCATCCTCAAATGGCCCTAGGACTCGAGACTGAAAAATCAGCTCCGCAGGAGCGCTCCTGTGCCAGCTGAGCCCCTGGCTTCTACTTGGAGTTGGAGTGCAGACTCCCGTTCATCTGCTGTCGGCGAATGCTGCGTTTTTGTAACAGTCTGAGTCTTACTAAGTTGCGAGTCACAAAAAATGCCGTGAAAAAGTCACGTGAAACAGCGTTTTCCTCTGAAAACTCGGGCGACACCTGCGAGTCTTTGTCTGAAGTGCAGCAGCACCGACCGTGTTTGGACTCCGGGGCAGTCCCTTAGTTTTGTTTGTTGGTTTGTTTTTTTCTTTTTGAGACAGGGTCTCACTATGCAGTTCAGGCTGATCTTGAGCTCAGTTTGTAGCCCAGGCTAGTCTCGAACTTGCAACGATCCTCCTGCCTCAGCCTCCCGAGTGCTAGGATTACAGGCGTGTGCCACCACGCCCGCCCAGTCCCTTAGTTTTGAATGCCTACCGTACCCCTAAGGGACTGCGGGCACCAAGCGAGTTAGAACCTGAATCACAGACCACGGGTTCCTAAGCTCGGAAGGGAGAACTGGGCCAGAACTTCGCTGATGAGGACACCCTGGTGGCCATCAAGTGAAGACCGTACCTACCTGGGGGTTGCCTTCCCAGCCCCAAATATCTTAGCCCACTCAGTTTGGGAGTTGGTTGTTGGTATGTATTGATGGGTTATATTTTTACTTTCTACGTCTGAACTTCTACTGAACAGTGACAAAAGAATAAAGCATACTTTTTAGAACTGTTGTCGTAGTCTCCTGGCTGTATAACGTCTTCAAATGACATTTCCTTTAAGGAAAGGAGACGGACACTTGCCAGTGAGAGTAGGGCTTGTCTTGGGTATTCACAGCAAGTTTTGGGGAGAAGGAGGGTCGTGTTTCTGGGTCGCAGCTTTTAGATCCTTCCCTTGGGGTGCTGGAATAGTCGGGGTGGGCAGCGACGCTCCAGATGGTGATTTTCAGATGGACTCACAAGTTCTGTCCCAATTCTACCCCTCCAGAAGGGCAGTTTAATTCCCCTCCTATTGGTCATGTGCAGAAGTTAATAGCAAGTGACCTGTAAGGGTAGAGTATGCAGAAATGACCGAGTTATGAGACCAGTCATAGATGGCATTGTGGCCCCTCCTTACTCTTGCTCCAGAACCACATGAACTTGGGGAGCCAGCATAGCACGAGGGTCTCGAGCTGCCCCTCAAGAAGGCCCTGAGCGGGAGCTGCAGCTTTCAGCCTGTGTAAGCCAGATTGGAGGGGACCCTCCAGCCTTGCAAAGCCTTTCTGTGACCCCACTGTGGGCACTGTCTGTTGAAACCTGGAAAGAGAGATCCTAGGCCGAATCACCGAGCTGAGCTACTCTCAGAGGACCCAGAGAGACTGCCGGATAATAAATGCTGATTGCCCAGGGCTGGGCGTGGTGGCGCACACCTGTAATACCAGCACTCGGGAGGCTGAGGCAGGAGGATTGCTGTCAGTTCCAGGGTAGTGTGGGCTACATGGTGAGTTCAAGGCAAGCCTGGGCTATAGAGTGAGGCCCTGTCTTAAAAAACACAGCTGATTGCCCTAAGATTGTAGATTTTGGGATGATGTATTACACAGCAAAACAAAACTAATGCACCATATGTCGATTTTCCTCTCCCCTAGGAAAACCACTCATCTTTCTTTCTCTTTTCCTCTCTTCCACTTCCTCCTGCTCTCTGGTTGGTGGCATGGTTCTCTCACTGAGCTCTAAAATGGGTCAGATGGGCTCCGTGGATGGGCTTGGAATGTAAGCACCCTTTGCAACCCGATTTCCATGCATTCAGAGTTCAGAACAATAGACAAGGGAGGTTCGGAAACATGACCCACTTCGAGTCCCTACTCCGCCTGCGCTCCCGCTAGCTAGTGCTGGGCCTGCGTCTTCAGAAAGGGCTTCACCCTCCTCCACTCCGGAGGACTTCTCTGCAAGCAGAGGGGAAGTGTGCCCACCACCAGCCCTTCTCAGCCAGGTGAGCCATGGTGTGCAGGCGGCCAGGCCCTCGCAGAGGTCTGCTCGTCCCACTGGAGCACAGAAACCTGGCTGCAGCCAAGCTTGCCCAAGTCTGTTTTCTAGGCCAGGCTGCTCTTGGGAAGAAACAACAGCTCTGTTAGGACAGTGCAGCTCACATTTTCTGCAGACGGTGAGCACGCCTGGCACCAAGTGGGCACCTGAGCGATGTTAAGCCCGTTTGACCCCTGCAGTGCTGCCGGGAAGAAGCAAGAGGGTAATATCTCTTGGAGGTCTCGGAGTCAGACTGCTTGCCTTTGAAGCCTGGTTGCACCATCCGGCTCCGATGGTCTCTCGCAAGCTGACTGATCTCTTTGTGCTTCAATTTTTCCTCCCTTCCTTCCTTCTTTCCATTCTTTCCTCTTTTTTTCTTGTTTTGGTGTTTTTGAGACCAGGTCTCCTAGGTAGTTCATGCTGGACTTGAACATACTATGCAGCCCAACCTGTCACTGAACTCTTGCTAATCCTCCTGCCTCAGCCTCCTGAGTGCCGTAATTATGGACATGCACAACCACACCTGGCTGTGCTTCTACTTTCTTGCCTATCAAATGGGGATGATAATAGTGCCGGCTTCATGAGGCTGTGCTAAATGCTAAGTAAGACGATACACGTAGTTGGATGTGGTGGCGCACGCCTGCAATCCCAGCACTTGGGAGGCTGAGGCAGAAGGACTGCTGTGAGTTCAAGGCCAGCATGAATTACAGAGTGAGACCTTGTCTCGAAAAAGCAAAACAAATTAAAAAAAACCAAAATAAATAAATAAATAAATAAGATGATGCATGTGGAGCATGTAAAACTTCGCACACCCAGTTCCCAGCACAGTCAGTGTTCGGCTATCGTTTTTTGTGCAGATGAGGACAAGGCGTCTGGGAGATTAGGTGTCTCTACAGGCCGGGGTCTTGCAGCTGGCACACCCAGAAGGAGCTCAGCTCCAGAGCTCCAGCTTGTCCCCGTCTCTGTGCCGTCTCCTGGGCCTGCAGGGAACCGTCACAGAGGAAGACAGAGGAAGAGCCCGGGTCCAGCTGCTGGCAACCTTGGTGTCACCCTGAACGTCACTCCTGGTAATGCGTGGGGGGAAAGTGGAAAAGCTGGTTTGTTTTCTGGAAATAAGGGAAAAGTTGCTGCTCGGTTGACGGATTCAGGAGCTGTGAATCCCCACCGGAGAGCACTTTTTCCCTCCAGGGAGGGTGTGGCTGCGGAGAGTCCCTCGGGGTGTTCCGGGATGTGTCCCCTGCTCCCTTCGAGGCGGGAAGGAGGGTCAGCAGTGGTACCCAGGGATGGTGAACGTCAGCGATTCTTCCCACTCCAGTGGCTTCATTCCACAGGGCAGCCAGCGCTCAATGTCACCCTCTTTCAAGGGAGCAGGAGGGCAGGCTCAGCACGGGTGAGAACTGTCCCCCTTTCCCCCTTTCTAGGACAGGGAGGGGACAGAGAGGCTGTCTCGGTCAGGGAATCCAACCT